CTTCACATTGATAATTCTGATTCAAATTTAACATTTAGGATTTTTCTGTATCTTCTTTTATTTTGTATTCTGTATCTTCTTTTTCTTTCAGTGAAAATTTGCATCCCAATAACATGACCATAATTATTTATTTACCTTATCTTACAGTACATATAAAATAGTTGCAACTTTAATATTTAAATTGCCACTAAAAGCCCTAGCCAGTTTGGCTCAGTGGTTAGAGCATTGGCCTGAGGACTGAAGGGTCCGGGTTCAATTCCAGCCAAGGGCACATACCTCGGTTGCAGGGTCCATCCCCAACCCAGGTTGGGGCTTATGCAGGAGGCAACCAATCAATGTGTCTCTCTGTCTCTCTCTCCCTTCCACACGCTCCGAAAAGTAATGAAAAAATATCCTCAGGTGAGAATTAAAAAAAAAAAAAAANGGTTCAATTCCAGCCAAGGGCACATACCTCGGTTGCAGGGTCCATCCCCAACCCAGGTTGGGGCTTATGCAGGAGGCAACCAATCAATGTGTCTCTCTGCCTCTCCCTTCCACACTCTCCGAAAAGTAATGAAAAAAATATCCTCAGGTGAGAATTAAAAAAAAAAAAAAAATTGCCACTAAAAATATAAACCTCTTTGGGTAAAAATGTCTTTGAAGGTCTTTATGTCCTTAGACTATATCCCATGTTCAGAATACTATGTTCATAATTGTTTGAAGTAATTACTTTCTCTATGTGGTCATGTGGTTAAATGGATATATAGTTTTATTTGTTTCTACTAGAAATAAGGGTTTGGCTTTTTCATTCTTTTGTCTCTACTTTTTAAATAAATAAAGTACCGGTAAGGTTTGAAAGTCAAAACTATATAAAAAGTATACTCAGAGAAATTTTACTTCCATCACTGCTCTTAAACTGTTTCTACCTAATGCCTATAGTTAACCGTGTGTATTATTTTCTANGTAGTTAACCATATGTATTATTTTCTAGTTTGTCCTTTCTCTCTTTTTCTTTACTTTTTATCAAATTATAATATATATCACATTTCTTTGTGCAAAACCAAGCAAGTATGTAAATATGTTATTTCCCCATTTTTCTTACACAAAAGGTAGTANACATTTCTTTGTGCAAAACCAAGCAAGTATGTAAATATGTTATTTCCCCATTTTTCTTACACAAAAGGTAGTATACCAGATACCTTATTCTGCATCTTTCTTTTCTCCATTACCACATGTTCTGGGAATTACTCTATATCAGTTTCTAGAAACATTTCTCTCTCTCTTTTTTCTTTTATAGCTGCATAGTACTCCACCCTGTATATTTACTATAGTTTATTCAGCCACTCTCCTATGGCCATTTGGATTATTTCCAATTTTTTATTACTAATGATGCCACCTTGAATAACTTTGTATGTGTATGTTGGTTCTTATTTGTGGGAGTATATTTTTTGGAAGATTCCTAGAAATGGGATTGCTGGATTAAAGGTAGATGCACATGTAATTTTTTCAGATATTGTCAAATCCCACCCCTCTTATAAGGGTTGTACTGTTTTGCCCTCCCTTCAACAGTGTTTGAGAATGCCAATTTCCCTGGTGAGTGCATATTACACACTGATTATGAAGCATTTTATAGAAGTACCTAAGTGATTTCAGATTCACCTCTTGGTACTGAGAGTGAGCTGGAGACTATCTGGGTGTCTGAGACCTCTAGTGAATTAGCCAGGTTTTGGTAGATACTGAATGTAGAGGACAGTTTATGAAACTTTTCTATAGAGTGCAATTAAACCAACTGTCCCATATGGTGTCCATCAACATCCCTTTGCCCTAACCAATTCAATACACAACTTTCTAGCTTCTAACCATTAGTACATGAACTTGTATTTTTTATTTTTTGCTGGTTTTCTGGTTCTTGGAGCCCACTTTGTCTGCTGAAAGGCAGGCCAGATGTGCTGGGGAATTAATGTCTCCCTCTGTCCTGGAGTAGCTTCCAGAAGGGTCACTAACACTAACACTCTGCCAACACTCTGATTTTAGCCCAGTGAAACTGATTTTGGAGTTCTGACCTCCAGAGCTGTAAGACAATAAATCATGTTTTTTTAAGCTACCAAATTTGTGGTAATTTGTTACAGCAGCCACAGGAAATTAATATAAAATTGCAGCTGACATCATATTAATTGGTGAAAAAGTAAATGCTTTCCTCTAAGATCTTTAACAAGGTAATATGTTCACTTTTTCCACTTCTATTTAACTGAAGGTCCTAAACAGAGCAATAATGCAAGAAAAAGAAGTAAAAAACACAGAGTTTGGAGAAGAATAAACAAAAATGTTATTCACAGAGAACATGGTCATCTATAGAAAATCCCAAGGAACCTACACAAAGTACTACTGATATTAATAAGTGAGCTTAGCAAGGTTGCAAAATACAAACAAATATATAAAAAGCAGTGGTATTTTTATATACTACCAATGAGCAATTAAAAATTAAAATTAAGAAAGAAATATCATTTATTGCAGCATTAAAAATATGAAACACGTATGAATGAATTTGATGAAAGATGAATAGGACCTATATACTGAAAAATTCAAAGCTTTGTGGAAAGAAATTAAAGAAAATCTAACTAAATGGAGGGATATACTATGTTCATGGACTCTAAGTTGATCCATAGTTTCAATGTAATCTTAATAAAAATCCCAGCAGAATTTTTGTAGAAATTGACAGCTGGATTCTAAAATGTATATGGAAATGCAAAAGACCTAGGACAGCTAAAACAAACTTGAGAAATAATAAAGGTGGAAAGCTAACACTAAGTGATTTCAAGACTTAGCATAAAACTGTAGTAATCAAGCCAGTGCAGTATTGGCATAAAGATAAATATCAGAATAATGAAGTAGAATATAGAGTCCAGAAACAGACCCACACATATGAAGGCAACTGATTTTTTTAAAAAGTGCCAAAGAAATTCAATGGGGAAAGAATAATCTTAGCAACAAATGGTGCCAGAACAATTAAATATAAAAGACCAACTTCTATCCTTACCTCACACCATGAATGCAAATTAACTAGAAATAGATCACAGACCTAAATGTAAGAGCCCAATCTATTAAACTAGGAGAAAACAACTGAAAATCTTAAGGCCCTTGTATTGGGTAAAGGTTTTAAAAATAGGAGAGAAAAAGAATAAAGTATAAAGCAAAAAGTTGATAAATTGAAAAAAACTTCTGCTCCTCTTCAGACACTGTTAAAAACACACACACAAAAAGGCAAGCCACAGAATGGGAGAAAATACTTGCAAAACACAATCTGGCAAGAGATTTATATCTAGACTATATAAAGAACATTTACAATGCAAAATTAAGACAATTCAATTTAAAAGATGGCCAAATATTTGAACAGATACTTTATCAAGTAAGATATACAGATGGCAAATAAGCACATGAAATTATTCTCAGCATCATCAATCATTAGAGAAATGCAAGTTAAAACCACAATAAGATACTACTACATACCCATTAGAATGGTTAAAATTTAAAAGACTGATTATATGAAGTGTTAATATAATCTAGAGCAGCTGGAACTCTCATACACTGCTGGTAGGAATGTAAATTGATACAACTTATTTAGAAAAGAATTTGGCAGTTTCTTAAGAAGTTAAAACATACACCATACTACTCCTCCAGTCTACATCTAGATATTTATCTGAGAGAAGTGAAAAATCCATATCCATATAAAAACTTGTACAGAAATTTTCATAGCAACTTTATTGATAAAAGCCAAACTCTGAAAACTATCCAAATGTCCATCAATAGGTGANTATTGGTAAAAGCCAAACTCTGAAAACTATCCAAATGTCCATCAATAGGTGAGTAGATAAATGAATTGTGGTACATTCCCAATGGAATACTAGTCAGCAATAAAAAGGAGTGGACTATTGATACATGCTATGACATGGATAAATCTCAAAATAATTATTCTGAGGGAAATAAGCCTTACAAAAAAGAGTACATATCATAAGATTCCATTTGACATAACATTTGAGAAAATGCAAACTAATCTCTAATGATAGAAAGTAGACCAGTGTTTGGGTATAGGATGGTAGGAAGTAGTGAGAGGAGAGGTATTACAAGGGGTCACAGGAAACTTTTGGGAGGTGATGAAAATGTTCATTATCTTGAATATAGTAATGAAATCACAGATATACTCATGTCCAAATTCATCAAGGTTTATACTGCAAATGTGCAGTTTACTGTACATCAATCTTACTTTAATAAAACTGATAAAAGACTTACACAGAGAAGTTTAAGATGTAATTTAGTAGGTTGGAGACCATAGCTGTCTAGCTTGGTGGTCATGTCTGCTCTTCCTCTGTGTCCTTCTGCAAATTTACTTGGAAACTCCATCAAGATTTTTTTTCTAAATAAATTTTGTAGAAGTACCCATAATATCTTAATGGTGATATATATGGCGGACTGAATGAAAAGGTGAGATTCCATTGGAAGATTTTACTTAACAAAACAGAATTTCCAGTAAATCATCCTCTGTTCACAATCAGGTTACCCTGGGACTCAGAGAAAAATATTCCAGTGTTTAATTAGGTCTTTGTCTAAGAGGTAATCTATGAAAAGTTATTTTAAGTAGGAGGCATCAGTTAGAAACCTGGCCCCATTTTTGAAAGAGAGAGAGACTACTATACTCTAGGGGCAACACACCCAGGGGCAAAGAACCTGTCCTCATTCCCAAGGTACCCTCTTCTCCTGGCACAGTTCTATGACATTGTGAATCTTGGTGCACCAATGCTGGGATGTGGGACTAGCCATGAAGGTGAGACCCAAGGTGGGCTCCTCACTCATCAAGGCACCTTGGCCTCTTAGCTGCTCCAGAGAGCAGTCTAAGCTACTTTACATGGGTGTCAACCATTTTAGGGTGCATGCCTGAACCCTTGGTGGTCCTGGGTATGGGGCTCGGGGTTGGAGACCATAGCTGTCTAGCTTGGTGGTCATGTCTGCTCTTCCTCTGTGTTCAGGTGGAGCACCATGCCTTGCTGTCGACCTTGCAGCTGTTGTACACCGTGGGCTATTCTCTCTCCATAGTCTCCCTCCTCCTGGCTCTCACTCTCCTCCTGTTTCTTCGGTGAGTGGAACTCCTGCGGGCATGTGTTCAGGCGGGTACCCTGGAATTTGCTCATTGGCTACCTCTGGAAGGCAGTAGAAGACTGGGCTGGGTGATGACATGGTTCATCAGAGCTGGAAAGGGATCTGAGCGAGGCCCTCGTCCATCCATCCCGCTGTGCAGGTGAAAGGGGAAGGGATAGCAGAGGTCCCCTGAGAGGCAGTGAGTCACCCCAGTCACGAAGTGCAGTAAGAATTGGAATCTGGGGCTCCTGACTCAGCTTTCTCCTCTTTTGGATAAGACAACCTATGTGTCAGGCCCTGCTCCAGATTCTTATCACGCCCATTACCAGCACAGCCAGTTCTCACCACAACTCTACCAGAGGCATTATTTTTACAGAAGAGATTAAGAAACTTCCCCAAAGCAGATTATTGAGTGGTAGAGAGGGGATTTTAATGCAGGGCCCACAGGCTCCAATTAGCTATGCTTCCTCGGTGCCCAGGCACTGCTCTAAGCAGGCTGCATATACTCAGTCATTCAAACCTCTCCCTAATCAGAATTAAGTTTAATCCTAATCCTAGGAGATTAGCATTGTTATTACCACTGTTTTATAAGTGAGTTGACTGAAATATGGGGAAATAGAGGAACTTTCCCAAGATCACACAGCTAGTGAGTGATGGAGCCAGGACCACAACCAGGCTGTCCAGCACCTAAGCATTTTCACTCCCTAATACTCTGTCAGGATCCAAAGGCTCAGTGCATTTTATTAAATCACATTTTTAGAAATTACTCAAGTGAGATATTTATAGAGCCATCAGGGAGCCCTCTCAAGCTGTATCTCGGTGCAACCCTTTCAGGAACATAATGTGGCGGAATGAGAGTTCAGCATGGGTGCAGGAGACCTGGACAGGGACCATGGAGGCCTGGATGCTAGCTCCAAAGCAGCTCCCCACCTGGGCTCTTCTAACCCCAGGTCTGGCCCTCCCTGACCCTTAATCTCAGGATGGTCTATGGCTCCTGGAGCAGAGTTGTAACCATCTGCCCCAGTGCGAGAGCAATTTTTGAACAATGGGACAATTGCACAGCCAGCCTGCTCTCTGTGACTGCCTCCACTCCCCCTCCCAACATCTCAGAACTAAGCCAGGAGGAGACACGTGCCCGGCCCTGCAGGAAGGAACTTTAGCAGAACCTGGGCCAATCAAGGGTCTGTTTTGCCTCAGGCACTGGGGTAGAGCAGGGCCCAGTCCCTGCCCTTGAGTAGCCCCCAGTGTAGTTAGGGAGAAGGGTGCATAGATGGTAAAACACAAGGACTGCTTCAAATCTAAATGGTAAAACACAAGGACTGCTTCAAATCTCTCTTCGAGATGAAAAAGAATAGCTCTAAAGCAAGGCAGGGCGGGGTGTGTGCCGCACAGGCCCAGGCAGGGCCCAGAGCGGAGTGATGGGCAAGACTGAGGACTCGTGTTTACATCGGCCAGGACAAGGCCAAGGCCCAGACCGCGGGGGGCTCCGGGTGGGTGAGGCAGGGGCTGGAGAGCTGGCATGTGCTGGGCATTTATTACGTGCCCAGTGCTGTGTGAGCTCTTCTCGCCCACTCACTGCCCGAGTCCTCCCGCAGCCCTCTGAGGTAAGCTCTCTTGTTCTTACAGGCAGTAGAGCCTCGAAGAGCCATATTTTGGCCTTAGAGTTTCTGGGTTCAAATCTCAGCTCTACCACTTGCCGCTCCGTGACTTTGGCCAGGTGACCTAACCTCTCTGCCTCGCCCTCCCCAGCTGTAAAACCAGGGCGACAGCACGGCCTGCTCCCCCAGTGCTTGTAAGGAGCCAGGATGCCCATAAGTCCCTCCCCGCCTGTAAGGGTCTGGGACGGGGCGGCATGCTGACCGTGCTCCCTAGGGGTTAGCTATTGTTATCCCCATCTTACAGGTGAGGAAAGCGAGTCACAGGGAATAGGTCTCATAGGCCAGGCCGCCAACTCGGGAGCCTGCGCTCTGAACCTCCCCCCCTTAGCGACAGACCCGCCGGTGCCCGCACAGGCCTGTCGGGCTGAGCCAGGCTTTGCTGAGGGAAGGCACTCGGTTCTCTCCCTGCACAGAAAACTGCACTGCACACGCAACTACATCCACATGAACCTGTTCGCGTCTTTCGTCCTGAGAGGCCTGGCCGTGCTGGTGAAGGACGTCATCTTGTACAACTCCTACTCCAGGCGGCCCGACAACGAGAAGGAGTGGGTGTCCTACGTGTCCCAGGTGTGTCCTCCCGCTGGTGGGTCGGTGTGGGTCGGAGGGCACGGGTGGGCTGCAGAGGGGAGGAGGCAGACACAGGGGTGTCCAAGGCTTTGTGGTTAGATGTGTATCACCTGACTTAAAAAAACCACAACCATGGAGAGAGTGGGGTGGGGTAAAGAAAATCAGCAGCAGAAAAGCTCACTGGGGGGTTTCTGAATGGCCCCTGGGTGGGAAATGTCTTCATCTGTAAATAAAAGAAAGAATTAAACCAGATCAACCTTTTTTATTATTACTGTTTTTAAAATATATATCTTTATTGATTTCAGAGGGAGAGAGGAAGGGAGAGAGAGAAACGTCAATGATGAGAGAGTCATTGATTGGCTGCCTCCTGCACGCCCCCGACTGGGGATGGAGCCTGTGACCAGGAATCGAACCGCGATCTCCTGGATCCTAGGCCGATGCTCAACTGCTGAGCCACACTCAGCCGGGCGCATTACTATTTCTTTAAAGCAGCAAAGCTTTCCGCATTGAAATCTGTATCTGTTGACATGGTTTTTCCTTTATCCCGTCAATAACAAATGCAGTAACTTGCTAAACTAACTTTGCATCCCTGGAATAAGCCCAGCTAGGTTCTGACACATCCTTCTTCCTCTTACATCGCTGGGTCCCATTAGTTAACACTCTGGTTTAGCATTGCTCATCTACGCTCGTGAATAATTTCCTTTTCTAGTAAGTGTTTGGATCAAGTTTATGCTGACCTCTTAAAACAAATCAGACTTGTTCTCTCTTTCTCTCTTCTCTGGGAGAGTTTATTTAACAGGGGTATTATTTCTTCCTTAAATGCCTGATACATTACAACAGTGAAGCCGTTTGGGCCCGTAGTTTTCTTCATTGGAAGGCATGCAATTATGAACCAATTATGAACTCTTAGATTTAGATTTCCTGTTTCTTCTGGTGGCACAAGGTAACTTGTGTTTTTCTAGGAGTTTGTATACTTCATCTCTTCTTTCAAGTTTATTGGCATAGCATTGTTCATAGTCTCTTAAGATCTTGTGAAGTTCTGTTGCGTCTGTAATGGCGTTCCTCTTTTCATTCCTGATTTTTATTATTTGTATCTTTGCTCTCTTTCCCCCCTTAATCATCCTTGCCAGGGGTTTCTCAGTTTTATTGGATTTTTTTTTTTAAATACTTTTGTCATTGTTGATTTTCATTTTTATGTTCTCTATTTCATTAATTTCTGCTTTCATCTTTATTGTTTTTCCATGTACTTTCTTTGGGTTCAATGTGCTGTTCTTTTTCTGACATAATACTTAAAGTAATTGATTTTTCAGCTTTTTTCTTATAATTAATGCACTTAAAGCTATATGCTTCATTCTAAGTGTGGTATTAGCTGCATAGCACAGATTTCGATATGCAGCATTTTCCATCCACTCAGTTCAGAAGTAAGTTCTGATTTCTGTTACCATTCTCCTTTGATTCCTGAGTTATTTAGAAATTCATTTCCAATCATATGCAGATTTTTTGGTTGTTAATCTCTAGCTTAATGGAACTGAGATCAGAGAACATACCCTTTAGTGTTCCCTTTAGGGAAGTTGCTGATGAGGTTTCTCTCTGTTTTATTTATTTATTTATTTATTTATTTATTTATTTATTTATTTACTTATTTTTGTCTAAAAATGTCTAAAGCGTCAAGGAAGAGGCTGGGCTTTGAAACCTACATGAAGCACTCCTTCACATTTTGATTCTGTGGCCACCTCTCTGAGGTGGTTGGCAAGGGTTCCGGAGAGAAGGGAGTGAAGGGGGAGGGGTTCTGCGCAGGGAGGCCCTTCTCCACCCTCCTGGGGTCCAGGTCCTGGGAGACCCTAGACTCACCTTCAGGGGCTCTGTTCTCTACAGATATCTGCCTCCTGCCGCTCGGCCCAGGTTCTCCTGCACTACTTCGTGGGCACCAATTACTCCTGGCTTCTGGTGGAAGGCCTTTACCTCCACACGCTGCTGGAGCCCACCATGCTTTCTGAAAGGCGGCTGTGGCCCACATACCTGCTGGTGGGTTGGGGTGAGTGACCTGAACCCCCAGCCTCTTTTTCTGGGGACTCCTCAGAAATGGGAGCCCAATTCCCAACTGGAGGGGGGTTATGAGACAGATAATTCCTCAATGACAAGAGTCTCTGATGAAAGGTATGTGTGTGTGTGTGTGTGTGTGTGTGTGTGTGTGCCTGCATGTGTGTGAGCAAGCAATGCACACACACACACACACATGCACAAGTGCCATAGACCCAATGCACACATTCAAAAATTGAGGTTTTTTTTTTTTTGTGGAATCAGATGACATTTCTCCTACCCTGTCCCCAACTGTATTTGTGTGCTCAGGATGTCATGACAAAAACCCATAAGCTGCTTATACAATAGACATTTACTTCTCACAGTTCTGGAGGCTGGGAAATCAGGATGCCACCATGATGAGTTCTGGCGAGGGCCCTCTTTTTGTCTTGCAGACTGCTGTCTTCTTGCTGTGTCTGCACATGGTAGAGACGGTGGGGGTGGGGGAGAGAGAAAGACAGAGAGAGAGAGAGAAAGCAAGTAGCTAAGCAGCTCTCTGGTCTCTTCTTACAAGGGCATTCATCCCATTATGATGACACCCCAACCCCCAACCTCCAACCCCTTCCAGATTCAGTTACCTCCAAAGGTCTCATCTCCAAATATCATCATGTTGGGGGTTAGGCTTCAACATATTAATTTTGGGGGAGCACAAACCACAACACCAACTAAGCCTTCAAGATGAGGTCTGGAACCCCTGCTGTCTCAAGCTTTTGGGGAATTTGAGGCTGCAGGATTCAGAGGAAATAACCTTGGCCTGCAATTCAGAAGATTTTGGTAATGCCTCTGAATTTACTCAGAGCTGCTTTGTGACATGTGCATGTCTGTTCTCCTCTCCGCTTCCTGGGTGGCCTGACAGTGAACAGTGGACGGCTCTGTGCTCCGCTGGCTCTACAGTCCCCACAGCCCACAGTGCTGCAATGTTCGGCTCTTACAAGATTTAACCAGCGGAGACTGGCCCATCAGGCCGGCACGGGGCCAGGCAGGTTTGGCCAACCGGCTCCTAACTACATTCCCTGTTCTCTCCCCAGCCTTCCCACTGCTGTTTGTCGTGCCCTGGGGTATCGCCCGTGCACAGCTGGAGGACACAGGGTAGGTAATTCACCTGTTTTCTCATTTCTGTGAGCTAGTAATTCCCAAATACTCCCAAACGCAGGTTATATATCATTTTCCTAAAGAGACTACCCACCCCCTTCCATTTTGGCCATCTAAAATGTACCTAATGGGGGGCTGAGTGGGGGGAGTGGAGGGATTGAGCAAAAAAAATGTAAATGGAAAAAGTCATGGATGTAGACAACAGTGTGGTGATGGCTGGGGAAGGGAGAGAGGTGGAGAATGGTATAGCGGGGTGAATGGTGATGGACAGAGGCCTGGCTTGGGGTGGTCAGCACACGGTGCACTGTACAGGTGGTGTGTTGTAGAATTGGGCCCCTGAGGCCTGTATGATTTCGTTCACCAGTGTCACCCTAATAAATTCAACAAAAAGGAAACGAATAAAAATAAATATAGATTATATCTAGGAGTGTAGATAAAAATAATCAAAGATTTTCCTTATAGTAATTAGGTTATTAATTTATTAAGTTACACCTGCAAATTAGCACAAAATTAGCACCAGCTAGCACAAAAATTTGCTGCATGCCTTCTCAGTGACCCTGGGCATGTAAGGATATAGGTACAAGAATGGTTATTGCATCATAGTTCAAAGTGGAGGGGAAAAGGCAAAATAAAATGGATGAAAGTGATCCAAAAGTTCAAAATTCCAGTTATAAACAAGGAAGTCCTGGGGATGTCATGGACAGCATGTTGACTAGTTAACGTTACTGAACTATATATTTGAAAGTTGCTAAGAGAGCGAGTCTTAAAAGTTTTCATTACAAGAAAAAAAATTATAACTATGTGAGGTGATGGATGTTAACTAGACTTGCTGAGGCGATCATTTCACTATATATTTATATACTAAATCATCATGTTGTGCACCTGAAACTAATATAATGTTAATATGTCAATTATATCTCAATTTAAAAACAACAACAACAACAAAAAAACCCTAAACAAACAAAAAACCCCTGAACATCCATCAATACGGGAATGAATGAATAATCTGTGGCCTACCTACACTGTGGAATGTTATGAAGCTACTGAGAAAACACGTCAGTTCTGTATCTTCTGGCTTCTAGGGACTGAATCTCAATGACACACTGTTAAACCTTTTGCTGAATAATGCATATCATGTGATCCCATGTTTTGCTCCAAATAATCACCACCCAAAAGTCTGCTATATAATTAAGAATTTATATTTCTATGAACGCAGAAACAAGTAGAGGAGCATATACACCAAGCTTTAGTGCTGGGCAGCATTTTAATGGTTAGAAAAGGCCACACTAGCCTAGGAGGACGCAATGGAGTCCTCTCTTCTCCCCTGCCCCCCCTCAGAATGACGGGCTGAAGGTCAGTCTTGAGTGTGAGTGTCTTTTTCCTGGAGGGCATGAGGTCTTTGCATTTAAGCTCATCTTGATTTAAAGTCTTCTTCTGTGGTCTGCCCTTTGCTGTAGGTGCTGGGGAATCAACAGGAATAAGAAAATCTGGTGGATCATCCGAGGACCCATGCTGCTTTGTGTAGCAGTAAGGACCCA